AGGGGGGGGGGGGTTATGAAGCATTGCCTCTTGCCATCCTCTGTAAAATTGTGTCGGAATATATAAAAATTTGTATATGAATTGGTAAAAATTAGCGAGATACAAAGAGAGAATAGGGAAGAAAAAAAACCTGGGATAATAATAGGGTATACGTCTTTTGTGGGTTAATTTTTTCATCTGAATAATCTTCTTGCATTTCTTATAATGGAGTTTTTAATTTAGAAGACCCAATTTGTGTTTCATGGTTTAGTGAAATGGAAAATGATTTAACATTTCTTAATGGGGTATTTTTAGAGATAGAAATAGGGGAATTTACAGGTCCAAAAATAGAAGGGTAAAAATGTAAATTGACAATTTTACCTCTTATTTAATTGTTAATTTGAGTCAAACATTTTATATAAGGCTTGATTGACGGATAAGTAGATATAATCTGTTAAATGGACTACCGTTGCAATGAAAATTAACGATTTGGGATTGTAGCTGTAAAAATAAAAGGTTAAATTTTATTTTACAATAAAATGAAAGGTTTGGAACCTCTATTGCAATTTTTCCTTTTTAAATATGAGTTATTAACCTATCATTTGTGCACAGTGCACTACCTACCTAACAAAAATTATCTATTTGATAGTTAAAAATTGAAATTGTGTATTAAGGATTGTTATACCTTATTAATTAAAACTAAAGAATATAAATAAAGGATAAAGAAAAAAAAAAAAAGCTGCTTCCTAATGTTCAAACGGGCGGTTTCGATGGTGGGAACCCTGTTTGCGCAGTTCTGAAATAAGAGGGATCTTAATGCCTATTTCGATAGGTTGAGGACCTTCAATGTCACACTTAACAAAGATTGAAGACTCCAATGAAATTTATCTCTATTATATGCCGGCCGGAGGCAGAGGCTGAAACTTCCCACCCGTGCTCCTCACCTATTCCCCCTCCAACCACGCACACATACTGTGAATCCCGAAGATAATGGCGGAGCAGCCAATCAAATTCGGCATACTGGGTTGTGCTGACATAGCACGAAAAGTCTCTCGGGCAATAATCCTCTCTCCAAATTCCAATCTTTACGCCGTCGGCAGCCGATCTTTGGAAAAAGCTGTCAAATTCGCCAAGGAAAATGGTTTCCCGGAATCTGCTAAGGTGTATGGATCGTATGAAGCAGTTTTGGATGACCCAGATGTGGATGCTGTCTATATGCCTCTGCCCACCAGCCTGCACGTGAAATGGGCGGTCCTGGCTGCCCAGAAGAAGAAGCATTTGCTTTTGGAGAAGCCCGTGGCGCTGAACGTGAAGGAACTGGATGTGATTCTTGAGGCGGTCGAATCCAGTGGGGTACAGTTTATGGATTCTACCATGTGGATGCATAATCCCAGGACTGCTGCAATGAAAGAGTTCCTCTCCAATTCGGAACTTTTTGGTGAACTCAAATCAGTAAGTTTAAAATCTGTTGGTTGTTTTATGTAAGAATTCGTCTTATTGTAAAGATGGAATTGAATTGAAGGAATTAAATTGTTTAAAAATTATTTTTCTGACAATTATAAATTATTGTGTTTAATCAGTATAATTTTTCACGTGAAAAATATTAAAAAAAATGTTTTTTAGTTTTTGTTTGGCTTTGTTTTATATGAAAATTGTCAATTAAAATGATAGAATTTACTGATATTGAGGATAAAATTTGTTTTCATTGTCAAAAAATAAAAAAATCAAGAAAATAATCTATTTTATGGTATTCGTTTGATTTTATTTTACATAAAAATTGTCAATTAAAGGAAAATAATTTTTTACAATAATTTTTAGAATTTGTTAACTTTGCCAAAATAAAAAAACGAAAAAAAAAATAAAAAAAAATATATATATATACAATAACCGGAAAACCAATTCTCACTTTTCCCTAAAAACCAAGAAAATTCCAAAATTCAAGAAAAGCAAGAACTTGAATTCCATGAAAAAAATAAGAAAAATGCTACACGTACAGCACACTATATAACTTTGTTGACAGCCCTCTCACATATAGGGGGTGGGGTCCGCGATTAAAATGGTCCGCGATTAAAATAATCCCGGCCCCACATTTGTGATAGGGTGGTAAAAATTTACAGCATCTAGATGCTGTACGAACAACGTTTCTAAAAAAATAAACCTATCAAATACCTTAAAGTTGAAAAATGTAGTTCAAATTCCATTTTCCATGAAAAATTTATCCCTATCAAACATAAATGTGTTATCTTGTGCAAATACTTTTTGTTTGTTTTATTGGATAAACAGTACGTTATCGGTACAAATTTCCGAAATGGATAATGTTTTCTTATGATCTTCGCACGTCCCATGTTTTTTTTTTTTTTTTCCCCTTAATTAAGATAAAAGTAATGTTTGTCATATTAAAAATGATTGTTGGAAATATAATTCAGATTGGGGAAATGATAGTGATGACATTAATATATATTGTATTAAGTTTTTTAGAGGTTGTAACTTGCTTAATAAATGGCTCTATCATTTACTCTGATACTTTAAAGTTGATTCAGTCTTCTACATTAATGCATGTAAATGAAAATAAATCTCTTGTCAATTCTGCAGATAAATAGCTGCTTCACATTTGCAGCTAAACAAGATTTTCTGGAGAATGACATTCGTGTGAAGCCGGATCTTGATGCTCTCGGTGCTCTTGGTGATGCCGGGTGGTATTGCATCCGATCAATTTTGTGGGCTTCCGATTTCGAGCTGCCGAAAACAGTACTTGCATTGCGTAACCCTGTTTTCAACAAGGCAGGAGTTATTCTAGCATGCAGCGCATCTTTGTATTGGGAAGATGGGAAAGTAGCCACTTTCCACTGCTCTTTCTTGGCCAACTTGGCAATGGACGTAACCGTTGTTGGAACAAATGGCACATTGCATCTACATGACTTCATTATTCCATTTGAAGAGAAAAAGGCATCATTTTCGGTCTCTGTGAAATCAGGATTCACCGAGCTTGTGACTGGGTGGGAGCCTAAGCCGAGTGAGCACCATGTGATGACAGACCTCCCTCAAGAAGCCCTAATGGTGAAGGAGTTTTCTAGACTGGTTGGAAGCATTAAATTTGATGGTTCCAAACCTGAGATTAAGTGGCCAACCCTTAGCAGGAAGACACAACAGGTTTTGGATGCTGTCAAGCTGTCAATTGAGAGAGGTTTTGAAATTGTTGAGGTCTAGACTTATAATGCTTTCTATCTTGCCGGGTCGGCCTTTTCCCTGCATGGGATTTGTGCTTGTCATGTTTCAAATTAATTATTGCCTTTTTATTGTGTGATTAATGTTCGATCATAGTGTCTTGTAGAAAAATTGTTTTTGTTTCCTGGTTGAGTTCCTGGTTTCTCTGATTGGAATAAAAGTGACACTATGATTGTGAATATGCGTGTTCCTTTCTGAAAATATTTCTACATATTTTCGTTCAATTATCCAGAATATAATTAGCAATCTTCATTAGAAGTACCAAGAAGTAGATGGTCATCTGAAATGTTAGAACTTTTTGACCTTATTTGTCTTGCATCAAAGAAGGTTTCTGAGTGTAGTTCATTGTTGTTGGTCACGGTCATAGATAATTGATATTAGAATATATTGTTTCCAGTTCCTAGTATTTATAATTTTTAATAGCATTGATTAATTTGTAGAACTAGACTCGGTCATGAAATAAATCATCACGCTTGTGGTGCAACAAAGTGAATCAATATATTTCTTTCCACAATATTGTATGCTTCGTCCTTGCCTTTTTGTGCATATTTATTATTTAGCGGTTTTGGAGTATGAATGTACTCGTTGATATTTGTTTGCTATTTTATTTACTTATCCAATAGTTTCCCTAATAATCATGAACTTGTTTTCATGTTCTGCAATTTCTCCACATTGACTTCTCGTATATTATTGGTTGCTCTAAAAGAAAAGTGATAATACTTTTTATGTAGCAATGCTTCAAACGGCTGATTCTTCCTTTTGGTATGCTTCTAGCCTTTTATATCACATAACAGTCTCATGCTTAGAATGTTTCACCTTTCATACTCTTCTCTAACTATTTGATTGTGATAGACCCTCAATCCCATAGCTACAATCGGGTCATCTGTATTCCAGAAGGTTCACATAGTTTGGTAGAGGGTCAAAAGTGTAATAAGGTATAGTAAAGGATTGCCTATGAATTGATGGGGGAAATAATAGGGAAGGGGAAAAGAGAAAAAGATTGTGAAGAATCTAGTAGAGAGATGAGGCCTTTCGAATACCCTGAGAATTCTTTCATTTAATTCAATGTCATCGTTTCATTTACAGTGTGTTAAGCTTTTTGTCAATCAATAAACAATACATATTTCACCACATTTCATTTCTGCTATCTTCTAGTAAACTCCCAGTGATTGATCTGGGCTAATAATTCCTGGATAACAGATTCCCAGGGCTTCCAATAGAGCGGCAACAGCAGCTAATCCACAGGAAATTACTCAGCAACTTCAGGGTCCTATCAGATTTCACCTAGAATATTGAAAGATTTCAAATTTTTGAGATCGATTGGACTCTACAAAAAATGACATTCTTCTGAAGCCATATTTTGATGCACTTGATCACTTGGCACAGTATTGCCTAAAGATGATCTCCTATAATTATAATTGTGGACTTTGTAAAGCATTTTTGTTCATGCAATTCTGTTTTCAACAAAAATGGGTTGGTTGTTTAGCTCTCTTCCTATTATGAAAACAGGAGATTTGTGTTATTCTATTGAGTTTTGTCCACAAATTTGACCACTGATTGCACTGTACTTAAGATGTGTTTGTAGCTTCTTGAATTCATTATTCACTTCCAAGATCCAGTTTAGCTTCATAGTCATCCTGTGGATCTTACAGTGTCCCTCATTTATATGACGACAAATATGGAGCATTTACTGAATAACTAAATTATCCACTTCCTAAAAGCTTTATTTTCCATTCTATTCCTAATTTTTAGGATATTGGTAAATGTTAATCCATTGTGGAGCACTAGATTGTGTACCATATGTATATCCGTCTAATGATTTGTACTGACAGCTGCTCCTTGCACTGGGCTGTGTTGGAAGTAGAGGAAGAAATATTCAACTTGGAAGATCTTGGAGCTTGATATTAATTCACAAGGCAGGTGAATCTGACAGTTTTGTACATCATCCAATGATTTTTTATGGTTACCTTGTTAGACTGATGGATGAGTAGTTATTTGTTTTAAGTCATGTTATTTCTTGCTATAAACGTGTGTAAATACATAGATCGTAATTCTTTTGTATTTTGTCTAAAAACGTTGTGTATGGTATTCTCCTCCTCCAAGCTCTTCTGCATCTTTTACTTTCCTATCTCCATATCAGAACATCTTTATGGTTTCGGAGCCATATCGGCTCCAACAAGTAAAACAGTTCTCCCTTTGATGTAATGAAGAACCAAGAAGAAATCGTTGCTCAGTCCACTGCTATAAACGAGAAACCCGCCTCTAATAAACCCATTTCCTACTCGAGGCTTACCACCACTGCAAACATAAACACCGCAAACCCCTATATTAATTATCATCCACATAATACTCGATCCTTCATATTCGAGACTTCAAGTTCCTTTCCCTATTCAGTTTTCCAAATAAATCTACCATGGCATCAGGTAGAGGCGTAGAGCTTGTTCATCATTCATCAATCATTACCCACTCAGCCAAACTCTCACAGTGAAGTTGGACTCAACGAATTACCTCCTTTGGAAAACCAACTATTATATGTAATAATAGCAAACGGGAGAAAGAATTTTATTGATGGTACATGGCCTTGTCCTCCAGAAGTTCTAGATTTGCTGCAACAAAATAAGGAATAAATCCCATGTATACACAGGAGTTGTTTATGCCTCTTTCAGTGAAAGGAAGATGGAGCCAAATTGTTGGATACTTGATGATGTATAAAATCTAGGTTTCTCGAGTTCAAGGAAGAAATTCAGAGCATAAAAAAGGGTAATCTCTCCGCTGATGAATATGCTACCATTTTGAAAGATCTTACCCATAAACTTGCAGCCACAGGCCCACAGCAGAGCCCGTCTAAAATAGGGATCAGATTTTGTATCTGTTTTAGGGATCAGTGCTCTTGTTACATCTATTAACTATAGAACTGATCAACTGAGTATTGATGAAATAATTAGCTTGGTTATGAGCTATGATTTTAAACTTCCGAGACAAAATTCTGTAGAGCAACCATTTTGCTCAAGTCTGTTTGGCTGATTATCAGGAAACAAAACTATTAAACACTGAACCAGAAATACATTCCAAATTTTAATCCAACTGGTCCTTTCAGTTTTCACACTTGATCTTAATACCAAAGTCAAACCATCAACAAGCCAAATAGTCCAATGCCACAATTTAGACCAAATTTTCCTCAAATTCAAGCTGGTGTTCCTGGAAGAATCGCACGGACAACAAATTCTTTTCTAAATATCTATCCAGGCAAACCTTTTTAGTTTCAATCTAGGTCTCAATAGTTCGTCGCTACAATATAGATTAAATTTTTCTCAAACTCAAGCTGGAATTCTTTGTAAAACCACTTAGACAACTGAAGTGGAATATGAGTGCTGAATTAAGCCAAAATGTCAAATATGTGGTACAATGGGACATACTGCCTTTGTGTGCCACCATAGGACTCACTTGAATTACTAGCCTCAAGTAAATCATCCAATGGACGCTATGATGGTAAATGCTATCTTCACACCACCACCACAATGGCAACAACATGAAGGTATCTATCCAATACAGACTATTATGGCAATAGCAGAAATGGCAACTCCTAGCTGTCCAACATGAAGCGTGGTACATGGATTCAGGGACTTCCCATCACCTAACTCCATATTTTTCCAACTTGAGCCATTTGTTCCTTATCGAGGCAATGGGCAAGTCATGGTTGGCAATTTTATGAGACTAAGCATTTTAAATACTGGAATTTTTACTACCAAATCAACAGTCCTTTAATTGACACATCTTGGTGGAATTCAACATTTTTCTTGGTGAAGGATCTATGTTCGAAGAACTTCTTCAGGGCATCCTTGATCAAGGTCTCCTCTAACTGAGCACCCCCTCAATGGTTGAGTCTTTGTCTTCTAATTAAAGTTCTCTTCTTAGTGTAAATGTCATCATAGACTACAAAAAGGACACCAATACCTAGCATAACTGACTCAGGCGTCCTTCTTCCTGAGGAGTTGTAATATGCAAGTGGCAAATAACTCTAAGTCAGACTTTTGTAATTCCTTTCAAGTTGCTAAAAATCACATGCTACCTTTTGCAGAGCTGGACAGGAACAAGAAAATACCATCGTGATTTGGATTGAATCTCGATGAAACAATACATCAATGAGAAGTTAATTCGATAAGTTTAGTGACTTCCTAAGGCGAGGCAGGCGAGATTGTCGCCTCAATCCAAAACTCAATTGGGGCCCAATTGAGTATTTCAGTTAATTTTAAAGCTCGATTATTTGAAATTTATTGACGCAATGTATGGCAGCATGGACTTATGGACCCTTTTAATTTTTGAAAAATCAGTTCATATTGGCCCTAATAATTTCCTGTTGCAATTATGAGGCTTCAGTTTCGTGCCGCTAAGTGCAGCATGACTTCTTTTGAAATGTTGCTTGTCTAATAGACGAATACTTTGTGAATGTGAACTAAGAGTGTTAAGGATTCCCATCTCGTTCTTAATCATTTTGGTTTAGAACTTGTTGAATTTATGTTCTTACTTATATCTTTTTTCTTGAGGCAGCAAAGATGGTAGATGGTTCAAAGGTTCTGTATTTTGAACAGGTCAGAATTTGTGTTACATCTTGAACATGTTTTCTTTGTTCTGTCAATTTACATAGTACCAGCAAAATGTTGAATTTGTAATCGAATTCTCAAGTGTGCAGGAATTTTGGAGAACTTCTCCAACCATTTCAGCAGGTACATTCAAAATTTATCGTGTCTCACCCAATGCAGTAGTTATAACTTTTAAACATCAGCTGTGTTTGGATTTTGACATTAGTGCAGTGCTCTTCCAAAATTGGGTATTGCTGTTGAAGCATTTTTACCTCTAAATCTGCAAGTTTATTTGATTATAATGTAAATTTTTTGAATATTACATTTTGTTTGTAGTTTTATTGTTGAGTTTTAAGTTAACAAATTTAGTTCCCAAAAACTCTTATGAATGAAAAAATTTGAATGCAGGCTACGACTTGAGGCCCAATTTCTAAAGTTCGTTTCAGCCTCGAAAATCTCAGTTATGGTCTTGACCTTTCGTAATCATTCAGCAACAATCGAACCGTTTAGTTCATTCTGATTCGTAGAGACTTTTTTGTGTTAATTCAAGAATTTATTTTTATTTATTTATTTATTTTCCTGATGCCTCACGTTTCACTTG